ACTGTTTAATGAGAAACTACTTGTTCTGTAAACCTTCATCTAAAGTACAATAAAAAAATTTAAAAAAAAAAAAGTCTTTTGAGGGGGCTGAAAAGACTGGGGATCTACTTTCGAAAACTCAGCCCCTGAAACCCCATGGAATTCTACTCTGACGCACATGGAGGCGCCATGAGTCGGAGTCAACTCCGCTGGTTTTACCTCTCAGTGGGGAGGGTGGCTGGCAGGAGGTGGGGGTTGATTTAGTCCCAAATAGACATGTATTCTTCGATGTGGATACTTGAAACTTTTTCTGAAAGATGTGTTGTATGTGAACAAATGCATCTCTGCTAATTTTTGTCTCCAGCAAACACTTTTGAGTAAAACTAATCTGCTTTCTGCAAACTCAGCTGAGACAAAGGCTCCTCTCATACAGGAACTTGGTAGCTATCACCTCAGTGGGGGACCCCCTCTCCCAGCAAGTGTTAGCAGAAAATGATAACAGAAATATACAGCAAAATAACAATTTATTTTTTTCTCCAATGTCACTTTGAACAGTGGATTTGAAGCTCCCCTTCTTTTGGGGAAGGAAAAAGTTTGAATAAGGTAGAGCATGTTCCCCAATCCAAGCCACTGGCATCAGGCTGTTCCCAGTGTCCGTGAACTAAAGCGCCCCGTCAAGTGTCCTCAGAGACCTACTTAATTTGCTTGCTAACTAGCAAAGATAAACTAACATCACTGTGCAAATTCCATGTGGATCTTCCATCCTGCATCTTTCAAACTAAATGTAGCTTTTTCTCCAGGGTTAAACAGAGGGTTTGAGAGGGAAAACTATATTAGAAGAACTTCATTCTAGAAGGAAAGTTGAACAACGAATGAGAGATTATTTTATTTAATCCTACCTCCTCATTCTTGGTACCACATCAAAAATAATTGAGGATTTCTGGGTTAAAGAGTTCTGGATAATTCGTGAAAATAACAGTAATAAAGAAGGCTGGGAGAGGTAGCACTATTCAGCTTGTGAATTAAACCAAGAAACCTCTCCACCTCCTAATTTTCATCTGAGGGCTGGCAAGGAACAGTGGCTAGGAAGCTGGGCTCTAGATTCCTGAATTCCTCCCTGTTCTGCATTTACTAGCTGGGGGGCCTCTGGGCAAGTCACTTGACAGCTCTAAGACTATTTCATCTATAAAAAATGGGAATAATGATGATGATGATGATGATATGAAAGGACAACAGATTAACAGAATCTACTAGGACACGAGTAAGCACTCAGTAAATTATTATATAAATTATTCTTGTTATTAATGTATTCATTATTAAACGACAGTTACTTAAAAATCAATAATTAAATGATTAATATTCTATTATCAGCTAGTTCAATAAGCGCATCGGAAGACTTCGTTTTAAGGGAAAAAGAGACCCAAGTTTGGAATCAAAAGACTTGGGCTTCAAGAGTAGCCGTGGGCGTGAGATTTCTCCTCAGTGGCACGAAGGGCTTGGTTAAAATGATCTCCTAAATTACCAAATAGCGAGATTAGCTTTGCTGCACCTCCATCACCGCCTAAGCTTCTCCACGACGTCCAAGGCGAGGAAAGGGGTCCAAAGCTCATACAAGAGAGAGCTGACTGCAAAACCTCTCCCTAAGTCCGGAGCGGCGGCATGTGCAAGGTTTGTGCAAGACTCCCTCGGTCAAGAGCAAGGGTTCTCCTCCCCCGCCAAACCCTGCAACTCGGCCCGCTAGGGGAACTGCAAGGAAACTACTCGCTTCCCAGGCCCCGCAGAGACCCAAGAAAAGGCACCCCCAAAACAGCCTGGGTTGCAGAATTATAAATACCTTTCCCACACATGCGCACTGTGATTTACGAGTGGCCCCCCGGGAGCAGCACGTGCCCACTGCGCCTGCGCCATCCAGCTCCTCCCTTCGGGAACACGACGAAAAGGGGGTCCCGTGGTCGCGCGAAGTAAAGAGAATGGTTTCTGGTAGTCGCCCAGCCCCTGTGGCCTTGTTTCTTACCTCATAGTGCTTCATGGCTCCTTCACACGGCGGCTGCGGCTGTTGCTGCTACTTCCGACCAGCACGCGACACAGCACCGAACGCCTCACGCGCTCGCTACCGCGGCGCGAGACTAACCGCAGCCCCGCGCCCGCCCCGCCCCTCCCTGCCGCGCGCGCCCTGCCGACCAATCAGCACGCGGGGCGCACAACTTCATCCCCGCCCCGGGGGCCATTCTGAGCAAGGACTAGCCCCTCGCGCCATGGGGCTGGCTAATCAGTGTGCGGGACCCAAGGACGGGGCGGAGCGCAAGCAAGAGTTGGGGCAAAGGGAGGCTTGGCCGCCCACCAATCAAAAGGGGGGGTGTCTCAGCGCCGCGCGCCCCTTGGCCCCGCCCCTGGCGGCGTCGCTGTGGAAACCAAGGGACGCGACGGTTACAGCAAGGCGGGGGGCGGGAGCAAGAAGTTGAGTGACAGGTAGGGTAGCATCCACATGGCCGGCGGTGCGGCCAGGTGAATTCCTAGGTGGGCGGCCCCCAGCGGTCCGGGGAGCGGCGAGAGAGGGCTAGGGGACCGGGGAGCGGGCTGAGGCTCCTGGAGAGCGAAGCCTCTCCGGCGAGGGGACCTCATCTGACGTGA